CATTGGATTCTGCTGCCAGCCTCTGAGGCCACATGATACACGTTGAGTGAGTCTGTCTCCCGAGCCCTCAATGTTAATCAACACACCCACTTTCCAATGCATACTTATGAGTTACAATCTACTCCCCACGTCTTCCCTTTGGCAGCTTAAATTAAGTCGCAAATTTGACGGCAAATTAACTTCAACGGGGACGGGGCGGGTGCGTCACCTATTGCAGCAGTCTGTGCCATTTTCTCGACCGGGGCAACGCAACCCTCGTGCAACTGAGGGGAACATTTAAAATCAAACAAATGATCTTCGTGTGAAAGTCAAACTCGAGGAAACGGAAGAAAGAAAAGGTGCCACGCGTGCCATGACAAAGCCTCGCATAATCGCCCAGTCAACCTTTATCATTGTGATCACAGAGCTTGAGATTTAATGCATGCTGGTATTAGCTGTGACGTACAGTCACAATACAGTTGAGGTGGGAGGAACACATGCTCAGTACGCACAAGTGTGTGTGTGTGTGTGGGTGTGTGTGTGTGTGTGTGTGTGTGTGTGTGTGTGTGTGTGAAGGGGAGGTGGAACCAACAGAGATCTCCCCACTTCATCATTGAGTAAATGGCACCACAGACGTGAGCTGCGACTTCACAGCTGCCTCGTGGCGGGTGACATTGAAGCCCACGCATGAACACATCGCTCATCAAAGCGAATGAGGCGTTCTTTTGCTTCCGCTGCTTGTGCCGAGGAAAAACAATGGCAGCCCCCCTCAAGTGCACACTTTGCACACCTGGAATGTCTAGAATGAGCGGAGATGGGAATGAAAAAAGGGGGGGTGGGGTGGGGGGGGTGATCCATTTGGTTTCATGCATCTCTCAGGAGAAACTTAACAGACTGTAACCTTCCACTGCTTCGTAATGGGGAGGAAACTGCAAGACCCCGGTGCCATAAAACGTCTCGGAACGGGTGCTAACAGCGGTTCCGCAATTAACCTGTCTTAAAACAAACAAGAGGCTTTTGCATTAACAACAGGCACATACTTGAGAGGGTTGATTTCTGCAGCGTGAAACTCAAAGGCCCACCAGGGTTCAGGTTTTTATCGGTCATTAGTGTGCTCATTTCAGCACAGCTGCACCGAGATCTATGAACTACAAGTTCACTCAGTGTGATCAAAACCCAAAAACCAAAGAGCCAGAGCTCTTATAACAGAAGCTAAATGGCGCACCATCGAACGTCTCACTTAAAAGCCCTCAAAAGTCTCTTCACAGATAAAGAATATTTCTCCTAAAACCAACCCTGAAGTGTGAGAAGAAGGAGAGTAAAAAAAACAAAGAAACAGTAAAATTGTGAATGCACTCTTTTAGCGTAAAAAAAATCCTCCTGCAAGTTCAGTCACATAGTTTGAACACAAAAGCTCCACTCTTTCTCCTTAACTGTCCTCTTTTCTCTAAGTGGAACCAGACGTAGGCATTTCTCCATTCAAATGGAGGCAAGTTGCTCCAGTTCTTTATTTATTTAACAAAACGAGCTTTAAAAGCCAAACATTAGGTCATGGAATATTTCCACTCCGAGAAATAAGTCAATTAGACATCAAACCCAGTTTAAGTATTCCCCTACAAAATATGAGCTGGGGAGGAACTTTTTTCGAAGTCAAGTAGTGCTGTGGGATTGTTCTTTTTTTGTTTTTTTAAATACAACTTTCAGCAGTGTGGTGCACATGCGTTTCCAATTAAGCGCTCGGAGCCAACATCCAAGCCTGGGCCCCATTCACCCCTTCAACGACTGACCAAGTCTGAGGAAATGTTAAACAGGCATCATAACCAAAACAGAGACGGCAGATTTCTTTTCAAAAAGCCTTTACTTTCCAAACAATAATTAAGACATCACAGTGAATTGATGATATGGCCTGCAAACAAAGCACACAATCTAAATAAAGGAACCGGGGGAACATACTTAATCATAACTTTTGGTGACGCGTTCACAGCTCGTGCACTTAGACATAGCAATTTGTCCCTTTTGGTGAATGGGTACAAAGCCCGTTGTACAGTGAAAAGTAATAAAATATGTCAATACGGTTGATTTGTGAGGACCATAATGAGAATGCACGGTTTACACGAGGCACTCAGAGTAGGATCTACTTCCCTGGCAGCAGCAATAAGTCTCTGTGAGCCTGTCTCTGCTCAGACTTCACTCTCTTGGCCCTAAGGAGCTGTTGGAGGACTTTGATGTTCTGTCTAAATGAATTGACTGTGCTTCTTGATACAGCCCTGCAGTCAAATGACTCGCCCCACCGATTCCGTCACCTGTGATAAACAGCGTGCGTGCTTTGGCGGTACCAAATCCTGGCTCGCATGCTCAGAAATGCCACAATTTTTTTTTTCCCTTTCAACTTTGTAAATGACTGATAAATATATATATATATATATATATATATATATATAGATATATGATTGTTGTTTCCCGCCAAGCCCTATCTGAGGAGAAGCCCTTTGATGTGAGGCTGTATGTGAGCGAGCAACGCTGGGCTGGTTTTTGTTACCTTACAGCCCTGCAACATCCAGTAGGTGAGCCTTTATGTCGGACACCCCTTCAGGGCATGATGTTTGTTAGAGCCTGGGCAAGGGCAACAACCTCCAACCCACTTCCATCACTGCTTTTTTTTGTTCTTCTTTTCTTAAGAAACAGAGCCAGACAGCTCTGCTTGCACGCCTGCAACTTCACCGACTTGATCCAAGCTAAATCTCAGGCTTATTTAGGAGCGCTGGTGCACAGATAAGCATGTACAAAAATGTTGTTGACACGTCCACCTTGGGACTTCTCGTTTGTCATTACGTGTGCTTTGAATATGGATAAGTAGTGACAGGGGCCGTGACGCATGGAAAATGGAAAGAAAAGTAATGCCTCGGCGCTAAAGATAGCACTGAGTGCGACCAATCGACGACAAGCAAACACCGCGACGGATGATTTCGATCAAAGAGTGGGGCAGAGACGGTGGTTCAAGGGAAACAATACTTATCCATCTAAGCCTCCGCTTGGTCAATTCTCATTTGACTAAATCCAATTACCATCGATTGTGCATCTCCTTAAAGCCGAGGTTTAGGTTTTCCTTGATAGTGCAGAAATCGTAGCTCGATGAAGCGGCAGTATTTAACCTATTACAGCCTCCGATGAAGCGGTTCGGTTTTGGGAGGAAAGTGCGGGTTCTACTGGCAAAGGCATTGATCCTCCCACACCCTGGGTTTTCCCAGCGTGCGCAGCGATTCCTGTGCAAAGCCTCTGAACACTTCTCTCTCTCTCTCTCTCTCTCTCTCTCTCTCCTCCAGCAGCGGCGGTGCTCCTGAGCAAACCTGCCCCGGATCGAGCATCTCATTTAGTCACTGGGGCCCTTTGATGTGGATTCAGTGCTGCAGTGCATATCATTCGTTTTTGAAGGTTCAGCTTCCACAATACAGTGGGGTTTGAAGTTTCACATATTGCAAGTGCTACAATGTGATAATCTGGGAGCCGGTTATGCATTATACATTTTTCATAAAAGAACACCATCACCTGAAAGTGGAATGTGGAAAAAAAATCAGCGCTTCAAGGTATATATTGACAGAAACTGTTTCTGAGACTTCTGGGTGTGGGACGAAAACACTCTTGTTATCATGAGCATTTCGGAAACCGCTCTGTATCTTCTCTCTGAAGGGGGTGAATAGCCAAATAAACAGAGCAGAATAAAATTTGACTGGGGCCCGCCATGCCATTATGAGACCAATTTAGTCGACTGAACGCTTCTCGCGGGGCACAGGGGCCATGACGGCTCTATTCTCCAGCAAGGGCCGACAATGAAAAAAAAATCTCCTTCTCCATCTGCTTTCCCAAAGGGGTTCATACGCTCCTTGGGACACTTCCTTCAGTGTCTTCTTAAATAAAACATGAAAAATCCATGTCTTCACTGAGGCAGACCAAACTAAAGCTACGGCTTTAGCTAGTGTAATGACACGAAACAAAGAAATAATCTCTGTTGAGAATGTTCGCAATTTCATTTTTCAAAGTTAGAGTAAAGTAAGCCCACCAGTTGTTTTTTAAACTGCATCTGGCAGACAAGATTTAAAGAATTAGGAGAGTTGTTGTCCATAGCATAAACTCAAGTTGGCAATGAATGTCTGTGAGTGACTGAGGTTTACGTAAACGCTTCTGTTCATGATAATTAAAGAGTGTTTGTATGGAGGTGCACAGCTCCTCGTCTCTTTTTTAAAAGGATGCTTACTGTCTCCAATTGGTGGCAGCCTGAGGGCCTGCCTGCTTTCTTTTCCCTCGCTCTGTATCTATCTTGTGCGAAATACACACAAACATAAAAAAACACACACACACAAAAGCACGCGTGTACAACTACGAACTCTACACACTGCATTGACAAGTACAAACAAAAACAACCCACACACAAGAAAGAGACGGCGCTTTCACAAACATCAGCCTCTCAATTAGCTTCTGCACTCATTTCTCCTTGGAAGAGAATTATTTTTCAGCTGGGTGCTTTTCCCTTTGTTTATTGTAAGCAGACCAAAGCCTTATCAGCAGCTAATCACTGCATGTCAAATTCACAGACTTACTGCAGTCACTTCAAAAAAAAAAAAAAAAAAACAGAAAGAAAAAAAGGCTTCAGTGAATAATCTTCTCAGGTTCAGATTGCCATTTTAGTTTTAGACGCTCAAATCTGTCGAACAGCCAGGGAGACGATCAGCATTTGTTTGATATAATTCCTTGTGACACGTTAATTGCATCTACTTGTAATTCTCTCTAATTGATGTTTGATACGTCTCAGGAAATTAGGCCAACTAGATAAGACTGCAATTATTATGAGTCCTCCTCGCCTTTCTCTTTCCGCAGCAAGGTCTGATGAATTCACTACACCTAAAACTGTAATGTGTCAAGATGCTGTGCAGCTACGCTCTGTATTCCCAGAATAACAAAGCCGGGGTTATGAGCATATCAGCGTGCATTTAAAAACACACTGCAGAGGGCCAACGTAGACTAACCTGAGCAATTTTGACAGAGTTCTGGGTCGAACCACCGGCATGGTATTCAACTTTGCTCCTCTTGACAATTTCTTCAAACCTGAAAGAGATAAGTACGAGACAACATTCAAGATTTACCACAACATGAATAATACCAGACGCGGTGAAGGCTTTCGTGTAAACACCAGACATAACCAGCTGTAACATTAGCAGACGACAGGTTTAACAACACTTGTCACATTACAACATGTGTAGGAGGAGTGAGGAGAAATTGCATTTCATAAGCACCACAAATTAGTCAATTCAAAATCCATTATGAGAGGTTACACAGGTACAGTTGAGGAGCAGCTGTGATTACAGATAATGAAATCTAGTACAGACATGTGTGTTCTCCAGAGAAAGGACTCTAATGACTCTGAGGATCCACCTTTGTATCAGTATCAACATGTCAGATAATCCACCAGTTCACCACAGAGTGCAAACAACAAAAATCCCAGTTCATGGTCCATTTCAACCAACATGACTTAGCTAACTATCTAGCTGCGTTTATGGCTTAAGAAATTGTTTGTGTTGTTGTAATACTCACTCCGACCACAGGGGGCGGAAGTGCACCACATTCTAAATAAGACTTAAGGCATTCGTGTTTTTTTCTTCCATGCATTTTAAACACAAGGTACACATATTGTGAGTTAGTAAGTTATGTAAATTAAAACTCACCTGGAACAAATAATACATGCTTGTAGTCCTTTATTTAGTCCTAGTTTAGTTTATTTAGTTTTAACCATTTATGCATTACTTTTGGTAACCTTAGGCCTCTCTGCTTCCCACTCTCTCAATCCCGAGACATAGAGTTCAAATGTTACAGCTAACTCCAATTTATTTATTTATTTTCAAATTTTTTTCAGCAAGTCTACAAACTTTAAACATATCTTGGCAACTGCAGAAGAAGCCCCTTGTTGGGAATCACAGGGTTCAAATTCATCAAATCTGTAAAGAAGACACCAGCACGTCAAGTCTGCGATGTAGCGTTGCCATTCTTCAACTGTGACAGTCTAGGTGCACGCAGGAAACTAAAAAAACAAAACTAATTTTGTTAAATGGGATACTCGACCACAAGTAGGAATTGAAAAGAGGCAGCTATGGTTAAAATGCCAACTTGATGAAAGCAAAAGCAAAACTCAAACTATTTCCTCAAAAGGATGCATGAATTAAAAAGAAAGTATTCATCTTTCCAGATCGGCAGCCCTTTTGTATTTCATAGGTGGCGTTTTAGGAGCAATTACAGTTTCCTTGTGAGCAAAAACCTTTTAGGCGGATAACTTGTTTAGAGACCACATCTGATTAAATGTTTGATGTATGAACCATACAGCAGAGTTTAGAGACGAGTGTAACAGACTAAACACAATGAGTCAAGAAAACAGACATGACATTGGGGGAATGGGGAGTAAACAATTGCCGAGTTTTCAAACATAAACCTCAGGAAACCTCTCTTGGGTCTCCAGTGAAACACTGAAGGCAGTTCTATCATTTTTTTTACATCAATAGCTCCAATGCTTATGCGTAACGTGATGCAAAGCTGGGCCACGCGGCGAGATGGAGTCTTTATCTGGGGAGCTGAGAATATGAATAATGTGTACTCTCGACATTGTTCACACAAACAGCCCCCCCCCCCCAGGGGGCCGGCTGCATAAACGTGTCCACCCCGCAAAGGAAATTGACCTAACTGCAGTCAAGATGATACGCCACATAAGGAGGTCCTTGGATTTTGTTTTTCTCTCTCAACTGTAAGTTGAAGACTGACAATTTGCAAGTGTATTAACATCAGGGGAAACAATCCAATGACATAGAAGTAGTGTTATGCGTAATTCCACTGAAAAATGAACTCGGTAAAAGCGTTATTTTGAGAAAATGCTGAAGTGCCAATTCAGACTACAACATTTTCAGGGGAAGTCAACAGTTGCAAACTTGAATTGTGAAGTTGAACCTGGAAATATGTTATGTGTATTGTATGTGCTCGCTGCAGACAAGAGTAATATGTATGCAACGTGCATCATGGCTTACCAACACATGTCAGCCAGAGGTGTTCCAATACTTTAGCAACAACCTGGTTTAACAAGGCATGGCCGAATTTTGAGCGAGTGTGAAAGTAACCTTTACTGCTTCAAAGAAAGTCTGCATATCATGTCTCAAGGCAAGGGGGGGTCTACCCAGGGCAGGATGTTCCTAATAAAAGAAAGAAAAAAAAAACTTTCCATGCAAGTGGAAAATATGCTAACCGGGGAAAAAAAAAAAAAATTCCTTCCTGAGACACCTGTTATGACTCCTTGACAAAGGAAGAATTTGAGCACTGTGGGTGTTTATAACACGAAGGCAGCCGAGGGACTCCAGAACCCATTTCAAATAGACACACAGCTTCTGAGGATTTCAGCTTTTTCTTTTTTTTTTCCTTCCTTCCTAGAAGTATTTGCTCCACCTTTCAGTGCAGACAGCATGGGGCCCTGCTTCTTGGACGCCTCGACAATCCCATCCGAAAAGGAGCAGCTGCCTCAAGACCTTTACACCCTCAAACATCATGTGATCCCATAGTAGTGACACCGTAAACGGCCCCCTTGGCCATTTAGCAAGACAAAATCCCTTTCCATCTACTGCAGTCTGAGCTCACTCCGTGATGGGAGGGAGCAGAGGAAAAGAAATTGTTTTGAACAAAATGTCCTCAGCCAGTAACCTCTGCTTTTAAAACCTGCTCGTGTTGTTCAATGGGGGGGAGCAATTCCAACTATGCCAAATGCATTCCTCTAACGTACGGACGGCCTGCGTTATATAACACATGCTTGACAAGAGACTGCCCCTGATTAAATGCCACCCTTAACTAAAGGCACGGTGCTGTTTTTCAATTTCATACCTTCCAATTTGAGACTAATAGAAGCACTTATATATTCTTCAATCAAAATTAGGGGAATTAGGCCACTGAATGCTATGTTTGTATTCAGAGGTTATCACAGTCCTCCTCGAAAACTAATACCCATTATACACATTCAAATTGTTGGGGCAGATCACACAAGTTGGGAACATCGTGATGTTTACATTCCTGTGCACGGAGCCCCCACCGACGCTTCCCATCAAGGGAAATGTGAGAGCTTCCACTACGAGTGTTCTCTGCCCCGAGTGACTCATGAGTTCCTCTCTCACCTCCCCAAAAAAACGATTATTTACATGAGGCAATAATTCAAGATCTTCTTCTCTAAGTCCCTACACGGGGGGCAAGGCGAGCCCATTTACCCAATCCCTCTTCATTCGCCTTTGATGTTAGCCTATCTCGATAAGACCGGATGAGTGCCCTAAAATCCCCGTCGAGTGATTTCACAGGAAGAACAAGTCTCTGTTAATCAATGGCTAGATTGGATCTGGATCCTCAGGAGTGGTCTGCCTGAAAGTCCTCCCGAGTGTTTGAGTGCACACCGGGGTAATTCATCGCTAATGATCACCGCGGCACCCACTCTTCCTGCGTCCGTCCTCGTTTAATTGCCTCGTTCACGTTTAACCAGCTTACAAATCACACGGACAGGCAGGGAAACATGATCAAACAGCACCTATCGCTAATCAGGGGAGGGCAAGGGAAGAAGTGAGAGGACTCGGGCCTTCTTTGCTGCTCTCCTTTGGGGATTAGGAAGGAGGAGGCTTGTACAGGAACAGTAAATTGTCTCGGCTTCAGCCATAGCAGCCAGGTACATTTAAACAGGCAAACCCATCTGTCTCTCTCTCTCTCTGTGACAGAAGCAGAGAGGGGGCCGCACGGCTAAAAGGCTTTGGTAATCCCAATTTCAACACAGGCATCTGGAGTGGAGACAGGTTCCGCCATTGATTAGATTCCCCAATCAGTGTGTGCATCCTACGCCCGCCTTCCTTGGTAGTCTGGAGGCAGTACAAGGCCCGATGCACAGTAATTGTTTCCATAGGTCAGGCAGAGGAAAAACAGCTCGGGGACGTGATGAAAGGGAGATGGAAAGGGTGAGGAATATTGTTGTTTTTCCCCCCAATTAAATTGTTTGTCAAACCCTTCACAAAGGGTTACGCAGTTTATCTGTTTAAAATCAATACGCTCGTCTCAGTGTGAAAGCTTGTCCCGACACAAGACAGGCCCATTAATTATTCTGTTCTGCGCGCTATCGCCGGGCTGCTCAAGGTTGAGCCTTATCTTTTCTTATTTCAAATCAATAATTATCTTCTACCTTGCTCGCACTCCCCCTCAGAAATAGATGTGCTTTTCACTCAATGCCTGTAGAGTCTCTCTCTCTCTCTCTCTCTCTCTCTGTGTAGCAACTGGTGAAGAACGCAGAATGAATAGGACATTCTTATCAGTGGAACATTAGGGCAGGATGGGAATAGATGGCGAAGAATGAGACGCATAAGAGTACTGAACACAAATGAGTCATGATTCAAACAGCGAGCGAGGCCTTGTTCCCATCCTCTGATACAGTAAGGGATGAACGTTGATTTACACAACAGCATAATGATATTGCCATCCTTCAGGTATCTCAATCTAGTCGTTTAAATCACTGTTCAGCTGAGAGAAAAACGACTTCAGCCGAGATGAGCATTGTAGACTGGATGCACAATTAATGACTGCACAATTACATGGTCGTAATGAGTGAGTAATTGCATTAGAATGCAGAAACAACAAATGTACATCCTTTTAATAATCAGCCGATCTAGCAGCCCGTTTGTTGGCATTAGTTGAGGACTGCTGTTTGTACTTAATTAGGCTGCACTCAAGGATTAGGGCGCCGGGGCAAAATCTGGTGATGGAGGATGAGTTCATATTATTTCCTCTTAAAATGTCACAGGTTTTTGGCTTCGCGCTGCAGAGGGTGGCGTTGTTTGTCACACTGCACTGTGTGTGGATGTGGGAGAGGGAGTGAGAGAGGACATGAAAGAGAGAGAGAGAGAGAGAGAGAGAGAGAGGGACACATTGAGGGAAGAGAGTGGGAAGACGGAGCGTGTAAGCAAAGATGGGGCTTCTGCTGTTCTCTTGAGGATTGAGATTTGAAGCCGAAGCACAAAGCCGTTGAGACATTCCCCTTATCTAGGAGGTTGATACCA